TATAATGTTTGAATCTAGGGCAATTGATTTGATCTGACTCGGGAATTTACTGATAATAATGGACAAAATTTGACAGATGTACATAGCTTTTAATGTAAAATGAACATCCATGCTTGCTGTATTTAGACTCAATTGCAGACAGCTAAGTGAGGGGACAGGGTGCTCAATAAACGCTTTAATGCCCTAGGCCAATGAGCACTTTGTTGCTATAGAAACAAGTGGACACCGTCCTCTGCCCTGAAGACTGACCGGAGCTCGAAAAGTTATGGACAAACTGTGTACCCATATTTGACCTCAAAACAACAACAACAACAAACACGCACAAACACCTTCGCTCAGAAAGACTCAACGGGGATGGCAGTGACATCCAGGCTGCCCTGATAGAGCAGCAAGCATGTGACCAACATCCAGGCCACCACCAACAGCCAGTCTACATCTCCTCTGCTCTGTCAAGCTTAATACCAGGCGCATCTGTCAAAGGGAAGGGCTGCTGTATAGAAACCAACACAGCAACTGCAAAGTATATATATACATATTTATATATAAATGATTAATAATCATTCATTATACTCGTGCTATTAGGTTTTTTTTAAACATCTTTTCTCTGTGTTAGGACTTATTCAGAGCTGAATGTGTCACATAAGCCATTCGGTTTCTATCACAGCGTAAGATTTTCCCCCTAAAACTGATTTCAAATTAGGAAACACAATTCTTAACCTACTGTGTCTCATTTGGCGCTAAATGAAAGTCAGGATGTGAGCTAAGCACACAATGATACAACACGTAGGTCCCAAAAAAAGGGGCTTTTACTGTAGCTGTGTTGCACAAAAGAGTTTGTGCTCCTATTTGGTTGTTTGTGTCTCTGTATTTATTTATTTGGAACAAACTGACCCAGTGACATTGACTTATACAAGCTATTAGTTTGAGCTTTTAAAGCAGCCTCTGACTGAACATGCTCCTCTACAGCAGGCTGCCTAGAGAGGGTACCGTTCTCCTCTTTGATTAATTCTACAACATTCAATTCATCAATGGCCACGCACTGCAGCTCCAATCAGAAAAAAAAAAATATATATATATATATATAGCGTATATATAGCATACCTTTCCTTTCTGCCTGCTCCCCTTTTCAAACATATTAACACAGATCAACTGGGCTATTGACTGCTCTTGCCAGGCTTTGATGGTCTGTGCCTGATGCAATTAAAGGACCATCAGAAAGTACAAACGTGTTTTCTTGTAAAGTGCCAGAAATCTGGCGCGAGATTATGACCTCGTTTAAAGTACATCCTGACTTCCTGAGAGGAAAGTCATTACCACAAAACCTCATTGTGGCCTTTTAGTAGCTTTTGGGTGGCTTAATAAAACGCTTAAAATAGCACAGACCCAAAATGCACTGCTTACTTCCTTATGTTTATGCATAAATTAGCATTTCATGAGTGGCTAAAAATAGAACCAGCCACTAATAGTGTAAGCCTGGCTGTTCACTCAATTACTATATCGACTAATTAACTACTCTAAAAACCAAATTGTGCTTTTTCATGTCTTTAATAGATGACTGAAATGGTTGATAAAAGGCATATCTCCTCACTGCCTTAACACATTTAGTGTCAGTACTGCTACCTGCTAACTGTTACGACCAATACGATCTAATAACATGAGAGCCATGTGTGCGTTACATTGCAGATATGGAAGTGTGGACCTACTCGTTAAAGATGAGGTCAGGGGCAAAGTAGAGCATCTGTCCATTGGTGTGTTTGTAGGAGCGCCAGCTGAGGCAAAAGGAGGACAGACACATCCATGAGTACTGGATCAGGGTGATTTGGTCCTCAATGGGCAGGCTCCGGAAACCTAGCGCACATGAACACATGCACAGCAGACAGAGAAAACGTCACGTTTTAAATGCAGCAAGGAACACTGAGTTAACGCATTTGGACTTAAGCAACAACTTAAACAGGCCTTTATCGAGCCTGCCACGTGTGTGCGAGCGTGCGTGTGTTTACTCATGTCTATGCATTAAGCGGCGTGTATCTGTGCTACAACGAGCAGTTTTGTGCCAGTTTTTTATTTAGACATGATAACCACTGGGAAGTATTCACCCATTCTTGTTTCATGCAAATCCCACAAGGCCTCCAGATATTGGCATGCCATCTACGGAGCTCCAAAAATAGACTCAAATAGGAAACTTGCCAAACTCTCAATCAAACTCAGGCAAGGAACCCCTCCTTATCCGAAACACACAGGCCAACTAAGGACACCCAAGTGACTTATCAGGGCTTAGGGACTATTTCAGTCTATATGCATGTCAATCTGCCAAAAACAATGATTTGTATGAAAACATTTGTGGGAAAGGTATGTCAAATGCCTGGCTGTCAACACTGTTTAGTCAGTTTATATCACGTTATGAGGGTCTTCTCTAAACTGTTACATCTGATCTGTGTGTGTGTGTGTGTGTTTTTACAGGCTGCTTTAAAGTTAACATCAGAAAAGTATGTGTGCTTAATAACTAACATAACAAGAGACTGGGCACATTGCTGTTACTGACATTGCTGGCCCGTGTTGCCTTGCGTGTCACTCTGCCCCATCCAAATGTAAACTGAATGCCGGCAGGGGGCATATCTGAAAGTCGAAGGTGCTCATTTTGACCCTTCTGTCTGGCTTCTATTTATATGTCCGGATATGGCAAGCAGACACCGTGGAGGTATCAAATATTTGCAATACAGCAAATTAAACAGGCTCAAAGAGCTACCTGTGAGGCATCTTTCATTATGTCTGCCACTGACTGGAATTTTAGGGGAACGTGTTTATTCCTTCTCAAACATTATTTTCTCTCAGCTTCCCGTACTCTGGTGTATATGAAAAAATTAATGAGAAAACTGTTCACATAACAACTGGCAACACTGATGTAAATTAGTTTTGTTTGTTTTTTTCTTCTATAAGAAATCCTAATCTTGATTTTATGAAATGGTAAAATAGGATTCAGCTCTAATCTTGTTGAAGCACCGCAGAATTATTTCCTGACCTAATATTTAAAATCAAAATTGGGTGCTCTGACAAAACTGGCAGTGTTTTATCCGAAAAAGATCAAAAGTGAAGATGTTGGCGTGTTATCTTCATTAAAACCCCTCTTCATAATTACAATATAGAGTCCCCTCTGATTTATTAGGCTGGTATTTTTACCAGCTTACCACTTTTTTTTGATTCAGCCATAAATAAAACTGAATATCAATTCTTTTGTTAGCAGTAAACTATAAGGCCATGCACATATAACCTACTTCTCTTACACATGTCTTTCGGGACTGCTTCCACTCTTTTCCATCCATCCATCCATCCATCCATCCATTCCTAAACATTCCTAGCAAACATTCCTAAACAGCACTTAGGCTTCAGCCCTCTTGCATTAATGGTCACTAACCTGGAAGTACTTTGGCCCATTTCACCATGCGTACCATCTGCTTTCCAGCCAGGCGGTTGAGACTGGATAGCAGGTGGTCAGTGGTGTCAGGCTGTGAGTTGTCATAACCAGAGTACACTTCTTCGGGCTCAATCAGCTCCAACACACTGCAGATGGAGGGCGGCAGAAAAGGTGTGACCACCCCAGGCCTGTGGGGCACCAGGGCATTGGCAGCACTGGCATTCAGCTCCTTCTCTGAGGACAGGTAGCCTCCAGCGCCACCTGTAGCAGTTTGGCCATCCTTAGAGCCCTGCAGGTCCTCGCTGACTCCCTTCAGCTTCAACTTCTTGGATTTCCGTGCTGCGGGGTACAAAAGAGCCTTTATTAACAGTGTTAATGGTGGTATTTTTTCTATTTATGTGGCAGGCACTCTATAGGTATAAATAAAATGCAAATACAACAGGATGCACTACTTAAGTCAAACATTTATGTCTGCTGTGCTGCTATCACATAAAAAGTGTTTGTTCAATTTCCTGTTTACTCACACAATCATATAGTTTTTTTGGAAGGTGGTAAACATTAAGATGCAATACAGTCACCTACACTGCACTGTAAACCATCAATACTATCATATAAGTGTTATTCTAATTTCCTTTTAAAATCAAGGTTAGTCAGTAGTAGGTTAACAGAGCCTGCTTCTGCTGGAGCTTTCTTCTGGCTTAAACTGAGTTTTTCATTTCCACTGTCGCCAAGTTCTTGCTCATATGGGGTCATCTGATTCTTGGCATTTTCTCTTTGTTCTCTTAAAACTCTAACATATTTTGTCACATAAGCCTTCATAACTTCTCTCCTCATGGAGCTTTTTAAACAACAGATATAAGCATGTTTAATTTTACCTCTTTCTGCCATGTCTAGGGTGTAAAGTCTCATAGTATATCAAAAATCAACCATTTATGGGAGCACAGCTGGTAAATACTTAAGCTGAAACTTAACTAGAGCCAATCAAAATGTGGGACGTTGTCTGACGAAGGACAGGGTATGAAAATTCTGTGCGGTCCCACATAAGGTGGGACATCTGGCCATCCTACTGCTGGTATAAAAAGTTCCTGACAGGCACTCTTGCTATGCCAGTGTGACTTCTCTTCAGATACTCCAACTTCCTCCCAAAGCCAGGTTTGTTTGGTTAACTGGTAACTCTAAATTAACTGTAGGTGTGAATTTGAGCATGAACGCAATCTATCACAAGGCTGACATAAAGAGACAGCCTTTCACCGTGTGACAGGTGGCATAGGCTCCAGCCCAGCCCTTATGCTTTTGTTGCTATAACCACCTTATCTCCATGTATTGCGGTTTCATTGTGTATCATACATCACAGTTCTGATGACGAGCCTAATTACATTGCCATTAGCCAGACAGACAATAATGATGGCTAGTTGTAATACCTTGAAATGTAACACTTTCCTTCTGGGGAAGTAATTCCCCCAGAACCTCGCAGTATAGGCAGGTTTTTACCTTCCTTATTCTTTCTCCATTTTCATCCCTTAAGTATTAAAGTGTAATGTGTTTATAGAGATCAGCTGAATTTTGCTTTCTAATACTGTCTCATTGTCAGGATTTTCATTTTTAAAACAGAGCTTCTAACCAATAAAGGACATCTGACCAGTAACCATGTGATGTTAACTCCTTGGGCCTTTTGTGTGACAATGTAAATATTACATGTGTGACAATCATGGTGACGATGTAGGATCAAGAGAACAAGACCCGAGTCACGCAGGACTAGAGACCAGTCCGCAACCATCTGTCAACCACCATTTGTGAGTGAAAAATTAGTATTTCCCAACAGGTTGTGAGCAGTTGCTGGAAGTTGCTGGCAAAAAAAGTATAAAGTCCCAGTAACACAGGCCTACAGAGTGGTCAATGACCCCCTGGCAACCACCTGTTGTAGGAAAAAAGATATTCCCCAAGATGTTGGCAAGGACTTGGCAAGGACTGTTGTGGTTGCTAGTACATTGCTGCAGTTGCTCAGCATTTTTCCTAATATTAAAGGCAACCGTGGCAAAGTGCTAGCAACCAAAGCAATCAAAAAATAGTTTTTCATTGTAGGGCAAGGGTGGGGAACTCCAGGCCTCCTGGAGGTTTTA